AGAAGTGTCGGTGCGCAGAAACAGCGACGGGTCGGCAGTAGAGGGAGCAAACCCAAGAGCCGCAAGTGTAGTCCTCAGTGTGTCGTGCCACTCACGCGGTGCCTGGCGGAGACCGTAGACTGGCCGCCGGAGGCTCCACTGGGTGCCAGGAGGAAAAGACCCAGTGAAGCCAGGTGGGCGACGCAGCCAGATCTCCTCGTGCAGGCTGCCCTGCAAGAAAGCAGTGCTGAAGTCAAGAGAGTGCAGCTCGTAGTCGCGGTGAGCAGCTATGTGCAGCAGTACCCGAAGAGTGGTCATCTTCGGGGTGGGAGAGAAGGTCTGAAAGTAGTCAACTCCCTGCCGCTGACTGAAGCCACGAGCCACGTAACGCGCCTTGAAGACAGGCGGAGAACCCGGCGGCCGCTTCACCCTGAAAATCCACATGCCACTGACGATGTTCGCCCCAGGCGGGGGAACCTCGTCAACGTAGGTGCCTGTGGACTTCCAGGAAGCCATCTCTGTGTCCATAGCTGCCTGCCACTGAGAAGAGTAGGGACCCTCTATCGCCTCCGCGTAAGAGCGCGGAGTCGGGATGTCAAGTGCATCCGGGTCTCCCTCAGGGGTAAGCAGTACGGACACAAGATGAGGTGAAGCAGCAGCCAAACACTGGAACTCCTCCTGCCTGTCCTCAAGGACGTCCGTGCCAAGGGCACACTCACCCCCGACGGACGGAGGACAGACAGACTCAGACTCAGCGACAAGACAAGCAGCGTAGTCTAGACGACAGCGAGCAGCAAAGTCGACGAGCTCAGCAACTAGGGCAGACGCAGCAGTGGACGCAAAGGAAGGGTCAGTGACGACAGTAGCAAGGAGACGCGTGACAGTAGGACTGGCAGCACGAAGAGAGTCCGACTCCGGGTCGGGAAGAGCAGGAAGAGAGGACTCAGGAGGAGAAGGCAAAGGGGCACGCAGAGGAGCAGTGGACGGACGCAGAGACATCCGGTGCGTGCCAGGGACAGGAGGAGGACGCTGTCGCGAACCACGACCACTAGCGCGAGCAGTACGGACAGGCGACGCAGGCTCACGACGCTCAGCAAGACCTCCAGTAGGACCAGTGTAGGGAGAAGGAGCGGGCAGTGGGGAGGCCGGCTGTAACTGTAACTGTGACAGGACAGGCTGTGGACACTCTAAGGGAGGAGGAGGACCAGTAGAAGGCGGGAGACCAAGAACCTGCTGAAGGAGCGGAACGAAGTACGGCCGAGGCCGCGCGGCGACTCCAGACACAGCAGGGACAGCACCAGTACCCCCAGCGGCAGCACCAGCGCCAACAGCACCTCCAGCTCCAGTACCTCCAGCAGCACCAGTAGCACCCCCAGCAGGACCGCCTCCAGGACCGACAGCAGTAGCCTCAGCGCCAACACCCTCAGCAGCTCCAGCTCCAGTCGTACCCGTAGGCCCAGCAGCTCCAGTACTCCCAGTACGAGCACCTCCGGGACCCGCGGCACCAGCACCCTCAGTAGCCGAAGAACCTCCAGCTTCAGCAGCACGCCTCCAGCGCCGGGCAAACCACTCGCGCAGCTCCTGTGGAGAGAGTGGCTCCCGCCGAGACGAAGCACCCGGAGAACCTCCAGGCTCAGCACCGCCAGACGCCACACAAGCAGGCCCAGCTCCCTCAGGCTCCGCACCCCCAGGCTCAGCACCTCCAGGCGTAGCACCCCCAGGCTCAGCACCCCCAGGCTCAGCACCCCCAGGCTCAGCACCCCCAGTAGTAGCACCTCCAGGCTCAGTACCCCCAGGCTCAGCACCCCCAGTAGTAGCACCCTCAGGCTCAGCACCCCCAGGCGTAGCACCCACACGCTCAGCACCCCCAGAGTCAGCACCCCCAGGCTCAGCACCCTCAGCAGCACCAGAGTCACCAGTAACCTCGACAGGCTCGACTGCGTCTACCTAGGAAACACCTGAAGGGGCAGGACCCTGAGGGGGGAGGGGGTCTACCGGGGGGGGACCTGGCACAAGGAAGAGCGGTGGTGGGGGGAGGGACGGAGTGCGGTAGGGGAAGAGGCGGTAGTAGGGGACCGACTCGTCAAACGTGACGTCCTGGGAGGACAGAACACGGCGAGAGGTGGGGTGGTAGAACTGCCACCCTGGCGCGTCAGGGGGGAAGCCAAGGAAGACGCAAGGAGCAGCACGAGGGGACAGCTTGTCCGCAGACAAGTCGCGGACAAACGCCCGAGATCCCCAGACACGGAACGCAGACGCATCGCCAACCTTCCCCGTCCACAGCAAAGCTGGGGAGGTCTCCGGCCTGGAGACCCTAGGGTGAAGGTTGATCTGATGCGCCGCGTACCGAACCGCAAACGGCCACAGAAAATGGGGGGCAGCCGCATGCATCATGGACGTACGGGCGACGTCCATGACCATGCCAATGCGGCGCTCAGCAATCCCATTTTGCTGTGGAGAGTCCGGAAGCGTGAAGGTCTGGCGGATGCCTCGTGCACGACAGTAGGCTCGCAGAAGGCCAGAGGAAAACTCTCCACCTCTGTCAGAGTGCAGACGCAGAACAGGAAAGTCCGAGCCGAAGCTCTGCCTGAGCTGGAGACGAGCTGCGCGGATCCAGTCGATCAGCACCTCAGTGACATCACCCTTGCTGCGCAAGGGGAAGACTGTGGTGTAACGCGAGTAGTCGTCAACCACCAGCAGGAAGTAGGGCTCGTGACCCTGTCCACGGACGCGGGCCGGGCCCCACACGTCCATGTGAAGCGTCTGCAGCGGGGCCTCTGTCGGAGGAAACTGGGAGGAGTGAGGGGCAGCCCGCTGCCACCCCTCGACACAGGGGACGCAGGTAGGGCCAGGCCCCGGAGGAAGGGGAGGGAGGGACCGGGGAAGACCAGAGACAAGGACACGGGAGGCCATGCCTCGGAGACGAAGCAGGGAGGGGTGACCAAGGCGGTGGTGCCAGAGGAGAGTCTCGTGAGACAGGAGGCGACACGAACAGGGGGCAGACTCAGGACCAGACCTGGACGCTGCAGCAAACACCTGACCCGACGCAGCTACCTGACCAGACGCAGTGACTGGAGGAGACGCAGTGGTCAGGGTGTACAGGCTCGACCCCGGCCGACGGGTAAACGTGGCCAGGTGTCGGCCAGTCCGAGCGTCCGTGCAGTGGGTCACCCGCTGACTCGCAGGAGTGAACTGGTGAACCCCCGCATCCTGGAGGTCAGCACCACTCACCAAGTTCGTAGAGAATGAGGGGAGGTAAAGACCAGACAGGGTGCCAGAGGGGGCCGCCGGACACGGGAGGACAGTGGAGAAGTGAGCAAGGACAGGACCCCCAGAGGGGTCTGCCAGTTTCTTCTCAGTAAATTGCTCGACAATTTTTGTACCCCCTCCCTCTTACCTAATCCTCATTCCTTCCAAAAAAAAAAAAAAAATCGTGGTGGTGGGCCCTAGGAATCGTTCCCACTAGGGAACCTGCTCTGATACCATGAGAAGATACGAGGAATGGAATGACTAAGGGAAAGTTGGGTACAAATGCAAACCCTAGAAAACTGTACCCCATATGTGCTACCCCACTATAGCCTACAGTAGCTCTGTCATATAAATCTGACAGAATATGCTAAACTTACTCAACCAAACCTAAATACTAAGACATCTTCAGCTGACATTTGTTTATTGTTTTGGCCCCTTGCAGTTGTAGATGTTACTGTGGAGAACAAGTAAACTGCGAGCGTGATGATACTAGTAGAACTTAAATTGGTAAAGCATGTCTTTCCTCTTCTATTTCGTTGCTGAGGTATATATATATTCTAAGCACTATCCATTGAGTGGAGGCCAAGTGCATAATGCATTTTATTTTTTGCATGCAGCGATTACAATTTCATTCATTTTCAAGCGCAATGAATACTTTGTTACATGATGATGTAAACTTGATCGAGACAGAGGCATGATATGTGAAATGCAAACGATTGGAGGGAGTTTGTTTGATTTTTTTTTTGTAACTTATTCTCTTATTTATTTTTTGGTATTATACACACCCATCGGGGAAGAAAGGAACGGGGGATGTTGTCCCTTGTTGCATGGGAGCACGACAGCATGGGAGCACGACATCATGGGCGCACGACAGCATGGGCGCACGAAAGTATGGCAGCATGGGAGCATGGCTGAATGGGAGCATGGCAGCATTGCAACATGGCAGTATTGCAGCATGACAGCATGGGAGCATGACGGCACGACAGAATGGCACATGACAGAACGGTAGCACAATGGTGACGAATACCTTAAAGAGCGCGATGATGGGAGAGAAGGTGCACATGAAAGGTGTGGCGATGATGAGAGGCGATGAGAGCTGCAGGGGGTGCTGCATCATAGCCGCCTGAATCAGGCGTAGTATGGAGGGGAGCGAGGGGATGGAGGGGAGGTCCCTACTTCATAGAATGGGGCCGAGAATGAGCACACCTGAACCGAAAAAAAAAAAAAAAAAAAAAAAAAAAAAAAACGGGGAGGGGGGGAAACAGGTTGGGTAAGTGGTTGCCTGCACAGGTACTCGTGCAAAGTGAGCGGGAACAAATGGAGATGGGGAGCACATATGGAGATGGGGAGCACATACGATGATGGAGAGCACACACTGTGGAAGGGAGCACAAACGGTGGAGGGGAGCACAATTCATGGAGGGAAGGGCATGGGTGTCATGGGCAGCGAGCTGAGTTTAGGGCTTTTTAGGCTCACGAGTGTTTAGGGCGAACCGAGTGCTGTCACAACTACAGAGCTACTAACCCTTTTGATGATGCTAGAAGTCGATCAGCCTCCGTGATAGACCCCTCTCCTTGTTGGCTGACACGCCTTCAGGGATGCTGCTCGTGCACTTGCAAAAGCAGCTACTTCATTCCCAACATCTCAAAAGAGTTTAAAACAGCACGTGTGCCTGTCCCACCTATGATGTGAGCCACGACATCGACCAGGCGCTTGCTGCGGCCCCTTCACCAGCACTCGCTCCCCCTGCACCACGTTGCACTACTCCCCCTTCACCCTGCACGGCGAGCAGCCTTGGGGACCGTCATGGATAGAGAAGCAGCTGCAGGCTTGGCGAGCGTGGTGAGTAATGCAGCAGCAGCAGAGGGTGACGAGGAAGCGGCAGAGGGGGCGTGGGGAGGGGGCGAGGGGAGAATGGTGGCATGCAAGTGCAGGCATGTGAGGGCCATGGTGTATGTGATGCGATAGCGCCATACCCCGTGTGCGACACAAACATGTACTTCACGCTCGGGACTCGCTGGTGGGGTGCAAAGTCGTTGACGGCATGAGGGTGGGGAAGAGGAAGGGTGATAGGGGGTGTGGGGTTCAGTTGAGGAAGAGGGGTAGAGAAAGAAATGAAGGGGTTGAATTGGAGGTGAAGATGTGCAGGGGAGGCAAGGAGCAGAGTGACTCCAGGTGGGGATGAAAGGAGGAGGCCAACCGGCAATCGCCGCAGTCCATGAAGAAATCTCCCAACAGCTGCTCAGAGTGCTCCAGCATCTCTCTAGCTTCTAGGCACACCCCTTCACGCACCTTACATTCAAACCTCAATCACCCTGCCCCCCTCACCCTGCTCCACGGTCTCAAATGCGCTCTCCATAGTGGGCTCGTGGCTGTCGGTGGCAGCAACACTGGCACGTTACATTCAGCCCACCTGAACCCACCTCAACCCATCCCCTCCCCCCCCCCCCCCCCCCCCCTCCCCTCCCCTCCCCCTTCAACTCACATTGCTCCATGGTTTGAAATGCGCTCCACAATGGCTGTTGGTGGCAGTAGTATTGTGGTGAGCACCAAGAACACACTGGCCCTATTACCAGCATCACCATCTGGGGATTGCGCACAACGGGAACATTGGGGAAATTGGGTGGCATGGGGAATGTTGTGGGCGAAGAGCGTTGCGAGGCACTGTGATGGCGAAGTGGTGTTGGAAGGGACAGAGCCACCCATCATAGGCCCGCCCTATCACAAGCAAGCGCCAAGGGACTTACCATACTACCCGTTGACCTCCCCCCCGTGCCGCCCGTCCTCACGCCCGACTGCCATTGTTATCCACCAACCTGCACGGGAAGGGGAGTGGGGAGTGGAGGGGGGGAGGGGAGGGGAGGGGGAGGGGGAGGGGGGGGGAGGGGAGGGGGGTGGGAGGGAAGGGGGAGGGGGACGGGTTGGTCTCTGGTGTCCGGTCTTGGCCGTCTTCAATCCTCTGTAGAAAGGACAGATAAAACATTTGAGTTTCCCAAACAGAATTAAGGACGGGAAAATCTATAATGAGTTCAGAAGCAAAATGGAAAGGGGGGGGGGGGGGGGGGTTCGGGTAGTAGCAGAAACCAAGCAAGCACAGCAACAAACAAGGAAAGAAGTGGCTTACCGAATACCCACCACCACCGTTTCTGGCGTGTCGTGCCGTCCACCTCCGCAGGCGGGGTGAGCCCCATTTGACTTAGGGAGGCGTCCCACCCTCCATCATCTGGGCACTCACCCACAGGGGCGCTTTGGACGTTGGCTGGCGTCCCAACCCAACGCCCTCCACAGCCCCTTCCACCACTCCACCCGATGCCACCCTGCCACCTACCGTGCTGCCCGCCTGCCAGCATGCCAAGACACGCATGCATAATACAAGCGAAGCAAAAATCAGGAGAAATTGAGACAGGGAGAAGTGGGCAGGTGGGGCACAGGGAGAAAATGGCAGATGGGGGAACACAGGAAAGGGCTACCACAGGAAAGTAACGCGAGCAGCAGGAGCCCCAACCCTATAACGAGGATCGCAAGCGAGGACATCCATCCATGCTAGGGACAGAGGGATGGAACGAGGGAGGTAGGCATGCACTTGGAAGCCCTAGAACGAGGAGTAGATGTAGTTGGAGAGAAAGGTCCCTTGTGTCGCGAGATGCAGCGCGGAAGTGAGGATGGATGCCGTGGTTGAGGAGCGGGCACGGGTGCGGGGCGTCAGCCTGTGTGTGCGGCGGCACGCAGCTGCTGGCAGGCCGTGTGGCCAATGCCGCCTCTGCTGCTATGTTGTGCTCTGGTACGCCATGGCGCTTAGGTCGACACACCACATGCACTCGCGCGCACACGCATAGCCCTGTCAGGCACACTTCCCCGCCACATACATCGTGAAGCGCTGCCAGGAGGGCATGGGCAAAAGGGAGGGTACATACGGAGCAGGTGTTGAGAGGGAATGCATGCAAGAGAGGTGAAGAGGGGGACAGGCAGAGGGCAGGTGGCGTGGCGACATACAACACAAAAGGGCTTGGGCATTACTCCAGTTTTTTCAAGGGTTACAAATTTATAAAAAATGACTACCGCTCTTTGCTACTAGGACTTTCCCTACTGCTGCCGTCCTCCATGCGTACTAATACGTGACATACAGCGTAAAGCTCGACACAACCAAGCGGGAATTCGCTTTCCAGTCAACTCAAAGCAAAAGGGGGGGAAAGGGCGGGTGACGTGCCACACAACATAAAGCTCGACCGTACTAACAAGGAATGTTGGTTCGAGGGACTCGAGATGTGCTGTAAAGGGGGGCCGGGGGGAGGAGGGAGTGTGGTGTTGAGGAGAAGGGACGGAGGCAACGGGACGGTGGAGAGGCGACTGCAAGATAGGTCAAACAGATGGCGCTCACTGAGGCAGAGAGGAAGCAGCACCACACTGCCCATGTCCACGCCAGTGGCAAGTGGCCTGTGTGGGGTGGACCGTGGCAAGTGAAGTGAGTCATGGGTTCAAGTCCATGGACTGTGGTGTGTCATTCCACTCCAGCACCAACTGCTGCAGCAGGTGCTCTTTCTCCGCCCGCTGCGCCACCCTAGCGCCAAACGACTCTCCACTGCCCCCTGCTCCTCCCTTGCTTCCCCTGCCTCCACCCCTGCCTTGCCCTTGCTGCTGGCATGGCAGCACCGCTGGGAGGTGCCCTGGAGACGAGGTAGGCTATGACGTAGCAGTAGCACCTGCACCCAAAGGACGCGGGATGGGGAGTGGAGGAGGGGGGCATGGAATTTACAAAACAACGTGTCAGTAGACGAAAACAACATAAACATGTCTAGAAATCACGAATTGAAAAGTAGCAAGATTGGGAGAATGCATACGGGAGGCAGCATCAGTGAAAAGTAGCAAAAGGAAAAGACAACATGGATAGCTAGCACGGACGCACGTGCGCACTAACGCACGCACGTACGCACGTGCGCACTAACGCACGCACGGATGCACGTGCGCACTGACGCACGCACGGACGCACGTGCGCACTGACGCACGCACGGACGCACGCACGGACGCACGTGCGCACTGACGCACGCACGGACGCACGCACGGACGCACGTGCGCACTGACGCACGCACGGACGCACGCACGGACGCACGTGCGCACTGACGCACGCACGGACGCACGTGCGCACTGACGCACGCACGGACGCACGTGCGCACTGACGCACGCACTGACGCACGCACGGACGCACGTGCGCACTGACAGACGCACGGACGCACGTGCGCACTGACGCACGCACTGACGCACGTGCTCACTGACGCACGTGTGCACTGACGCACGTGCGCACTGATGCACGCACTGACGCACGTGCGCACTGACGCACGAACTGACGCACGCACGGACGAACGTGCGCACTGACGCACGCACGGACGCATCGACGCACTGACGCACGCACGCACGCACTTGCGCACTGACACACGCACACGCGCACCGACGCCAGTGAGAGAGAAATGGTAGCATGATGACACAATGATACATCATAGTAGCGTCACAATAATCCTAGCAGCACAAGCTTACCACTGGGAGATTCGTTCAGACTTTCTCCAACATTCTCGTGTAATGGAGGCAGGTACATGGTTAGGGGGGAATGGGAAAGAGAGAATGGGTGAATAAGGGTGATTAGACATTGACTTGTGGAAGGGAGGCAAGTACAGGGTTAGGGAGCAGAGTGGAAGAGAGAATGGGCAAATAGGTACGACCAGATAGTGACTATTTCATGCTGATGTGTCAAAGGAGTTTAGGGTGAAAAATGATAGGGGAAGAAAGAACTGTATAGACGTGCTGTTAGAGTACTGTTGCTTACAGACTCGAATCAAATTTTTGGGAGCAGATATGCTGATTATTATTGACTCTTGACCTTTTCTCTCAATAGGTAGATGAGGGATTCATTGTATCAGCATATCTCGCCCCTCCCTGTGCTCACTCTCCCCTCTCCCTCCCCCTCCCATCTTCCTAACCGTCTTCCTCCCTCCCCCTCTCCCCAACATGTCCCTTACCTTCCTTCACCTTTTCTCCTTCTATGTGTATGCTGCTGCCTGTGAACACTGACCGCAGGTCTACAGTGGTGGTTGGGGGGGGGTGTGAGGGGACAGGATGGGAATGAAGGGGAATTAAGGTTAAATAACTGACAGGGAGAGAGTCCCCACGTACGTGTATTCTACTACCTGTGAACACTGTTCACACGCAACACTCACGCACCACGCAGTGACACATGCACTAGCGCACGCACGCACTGACGCACATACGCACGCATTGACGCACGCACGCACGCACTGATGCTTGCACTAGCGAGTGCTTCCAGTCTGACTGTCACACGTCTCCTTGCCACAGTTGTGACTGACCCTTCCTTTGAGTCTGCTGCTGCGTCTGCCTTGGTTGCTAAGCTTGTTGACTTTGCCGCCTTGTGCCGCCTTGACTACGCTGCGAGTCTTGTTTTATACTCTTCCTGTCATCCGTCCATCGGGGGTGAGCTTGCCCTTGGCTGTGACGTTCTTGAGGACAGGCAGTTTGAGCTAGAGTGCCTCGTGGCTGCTGCACTGCATCTCGAGTCCACGCTACTTTGCCCTAAGGGAGACCTAGATGCACTAGACATCCCGACCCCGCGCACTTACGCAGAGGCAATCACGGGTCCGTACTCCTCTCAGTGGCAGATAGCCATGGACACAGAGATGGCTTCTTGGAAGCCCACAGGCACCTACGTCGTCGAGGTTCCCTCACCTAGGGCGAACATAGTCGATCGCAGGGTGAAGCGGCTGCCGGGTTCACGACACATCAAGGACTACACTTGCGGCTCTTGGCTTCGCTCCCTTGACTGCTGACCCTTCGCTGTTTCTGCGCACAGACACTTCTCTGTCGCCGTTCTACGTTCTCGTATACGTTGACAACTTGGGTTTAGCTAGTGCTGACACTGAGGCTCTGGCTTTGGTGAGGCGGAGCTGTAGGAGAGACACACTTGCACTGACATGGGTGAGCTGCGGAGCTACCTTGGCTTGCGGATCAGTCGGGACAGAGCGTGCCGCACCATCACCCTCACTCAGTCACACATGGTGCTGCAGGTCCTTCAGCGCTTCGACTTCACGTGACCCTCGCCACAGCCCACTCCTCTGTCTACCGGCCACTCGCTCTCAGCTCCACCTTCGGACGAGTCCGTAGAGCCGAGTGGTCCGTACCCAGAGCTTGTAGGTTGCCTCATGTATCTGATGACGTGCACACAAGCTGACCTCGCGTACCCTCTCAGCCGCCTAGCTCGCTACGTGGCTCGTGCAGCACATCGGGCATGGGGCTTGTGCTTGGAGGACCGGGCTCAGTTGTTCTCACTGGTCACTCAGACACTTCTTGGGCTAACGACCAGACGACTCACCGGTCGACACAGGGGTACAGTTTCAGCCTCGGCACTGGTTTTGTCTCGTGGAGGTCCACTCGCTCTTCTTCTGTACTTCATTCAGGCTGTGAGGTCGAGATCTACGCTGGGGCTATGGCTGCACAGGAGCTCCGGTGGCTGATCTACCTGCTGACCGACTTGGGTGAGCGGCCTCATTCTCCCCCAGTTCTGTACGTCGCCAAAAGGGCCATCATTGCCTTAGGTCAGGACCAAAGACTGGAGCACAAAACGAAGCACATTTGTCTCCGTTACTTCCTCACGCGAGAGCTGCAGCAGTGCGGTCAGCTTCGTCTTGCTTACGTGGCCAACACTGCTGATGTTTTCACCAAGGCCCTTGGGTCTAGTAATCATCAGCGTTTCTGCACTGCTCTTGGGCTTGTGCCCACTCTGCCTCACTTGCTTGTCTCTTGATCTTGCTCTTGTTGTATACTAACATATATGAGTATACCTGCATGCTTACACTTGATAGGTTGTGATAAGTATACTGCTCTTTGCTATTATAAACTCTCCATGTGAACTGTCCTTGTGGCCGCTTGCTTGTGCTCAGAATGCGTGGTGATCTTGAGATCCACCCTGAGCTTTGCTTTGCTTTATTCTCTTGCTTGACTGGTCTTGTGACCGTTCGTTGTGTTTGCTATCCTCCACTTTGCCTATGGAGGTGTGTCAAACATATACGGTTACATGTTGTTAGCCTATTGTGGGGCTAGCCTTGGGGGTACACAACTTTAGGGTTTCCTGATTGTACCACCATTCTCATAGTTCAACCATTACTCTTTCCATATTATGACAGCACGCACGCATTGACGCATGCACGCACGCACCGATGTCTCGTGTCCCTGCACCGTTTGCAGACCTGCAAAATTCAGCGGTGAATTCAGCGGCGAAATTGTTGAAGATCGTGAAAGTCGTTCTGATTAACTACTTGGGTAGTAAGGCGATATGCCGTTCGTAGATACGTTCGGGTAGCAAGGCAATACGAAGAAAAATCATTGGAAAGACATCCGAATGCAGATACCCAGGTTCTGGTGTAGCCGACGGTCTCGGTCAAGCCACTAATCTTCTAGCCTCCGCAAACATACTCCTTTTGAATTCTCATCTGTTTTAGATTGTTTTGCTGGGTAGTATGCAAATTCTAGTTATATTCTTAATTCACGATGCATTTTTATATGCCAACGGATACTTAAGGATCTGTTTTTTTTTTCTTTTCTTGTATCTTTTGGCTCGATGCGGGGGCGCGAACGAAAGGAAGGGGGGGGGGGGGGGGGGGGGGAGTGGGGGCGTGGGGGGTGTTATGTGATGCCATTATTTGCATTCACGTCTGTCTGCCTCCCATCATACGTTCGTACGTTGTATGCGTGGTGTGAGCGTATGCAGGAATTTATGTTTTGTGTGGTTTAGATTTTCCAAGTGTGTGTGAATGTTTTTTGACTTGAGCAGATTTTTTATGACTCCTCTGCTCGAGAGCTTTCCGATGAAACAAGAGTCGTCGCGATCGGATCAAGAACGACGAAGTTATGATCGTTTGAATTTTCAATTGGGATGCGACAACTTCTGCAAGTTTTTTTAGTGACTCAATATGGGGTATAGACTTTTGGGGAATGGGAAATTCGTCCTCATTATTGTAGATGCTGTCAAGTGGTTGGGAGAATCCAAACCAGGTTGGCAAGTGTGGCCAATTTGGGGTGAGGTGGATTGTGGAGGTTGGGAAAATGACAAAAGACAATGTGTTGTTGCCTATAGGAAGCGAAATTGTGTGATATGGGGTTTTCTTTGATTGGGGACTCCTTTTGGACCGTCCCTCTTGTCTTTCTCTTCCCTCCTATCTGGTTGATTGCTACTTCTATTATCTTCTGTGGATCCTGTGATACAATTGTCATTGAGTTAAGTTATCTATTGCAGCATACCCCCTACTGTGTCGAAGTCCATAACTCGAGCTGTACTCCATATTTTGGCACGATTCAAAATCAGAAAGATAGCCACGGTCGAGGGCTACAACTTACACGAGATTTAAAGGATTCTAATAATGCGTTTTTTGTCGACGGCATTTCTTGTGAAGTCGACAGTTCTGTCCAGTTTTCTAAGCCAACGATCTTTTTTTTTAATTTCGGTCCCTAAACGTTCTAGAATCCGTCCTTAGTCTCTAATAGGGGGGAGGCGCGGGCCACCGGGGCGGGGGCATGGGCGAGGGGTGCGGGCCGCCGGGGTGTGGGCGCGGGCGAGTGGTACGGGCGAGGGCCGCTTGGGCACGGGCGAGGACCGCCGCGGCGCGGGCGCGGGCCACCGGGGCGGGTTAGGGGCGCGGGCGAGGGTCGCCGGGTTGCGGGCGCGGGCCGCTGGGGCGCGGTCCTTCCACGTCGTAGCTGCAGCTCCTTTTGCCAAGAACGTAATAATTCCGTTGCTGCAGGAGATGTTTTCTGATTTCCGTCGGAGGCTTCCGGTTTTGGGTTCAGTCATCGGCCAACCAATCCCAATCATTTCTCTCCCACCACTGTCAATGCCCTTTTATGAAATTGTAGCACCGTTAGCGTGGCTCGTCTTGCAGTCCGTAGTTATTCCGGTATGTAGCATCGCCATCGTATGTGGACAGATTATGGTGATAATAAAAAAAACATTGTACTGTGGCAAATAATTCCACCTTGCTCCTTCCAACATGAGTACGCAAAACTCCCTGCAAACTTTACCCCTACTAGGTTTGGGCCTGCTTGCCCTCCTGTGCGACAAGACACGACAACATCCACCAAGAATCATCTCCCTCGCCCCTTCCACTCGGCTGTTTCCTCCTGAAATTTGACTCACTTCTCACCCCATCGTGTTTGATTCATCTGGTTTATCTTGCCAAACGGCATTTCTTTCTCGTCCCTAAACTCTGCTACTCACTGAGAGCCACCACCTTCGAAAAGCGTTGCACTCAATATTTCAACCACAAGCCTGGCATTCTATCATTCATACGTACTTTTGTATCTATTGGTTTAGATCGCAAAGAATCGAATATAT